GACACGCTTGGCAAAAAGGGATCCCTTCACGTGCCCGGGAGGCACCATTTCTGAGGGCTCGTTGAAATGATTTATACGAGACTGCGGACGTGTCGGTTTAACACGTTACCCCTCCTGATGTTCTGGGCATAACCAGCGCCAGAGGCACGAGAAGGGAGCCTGTTTTTACAGCATGTGGAAGAGGAAACTCTCCCTTTCTCGCCCTTCCACAGATATCCAGAGAGTATTATTCGGACTCTCTTTTCCGGAAGGTTCCAGAAGTGCTGGAACAATTAGTATAATGGGAATGCTGGAGCCATTTAATCAAACTCTGTGTATAACCCATTGCACCTTTAATTCCAGCACCTCTGGAAGGGCCTGAAATCCTTCTGCCAGCATTTTCTGAGTGGGGGGGGAGGGGGGGGCAGGCTCCGGCTTTATTTTTGCTTAAGCAGTTCAGTTACTAAAGCATCATCTGATACTCAGACTGAGGTTCACTAGCCACAAGTGGCTCTTTCATGTGTCTCCTGCTGCTCTTTGCAGCACATGCTATTAAACACTGGGGCTACATCTACACTGGCATGATTTTCTGAAAATGCTTTTAACGGAAAAGTTTTCCGTTAAAAGCATTTTCAGAAAATCATGCCAGTGTAGATGTAGCCCCAGTGTTTAATAGCATGTGCTGCAAAGAGCAGCAGGAGACACATGAAAGAGCCACTTGTGGCTAGTGAACCTCAGTCTGAGTATCAGATGATGCTTTAGTAACTGAACTGCTTAAGCAAAAATAAAGCCGGAGCCTGCCCCCCCCTCCCCCCCCACTCAGAAAATGCTGGCAGAAGGATTTCAGGCCCTTCCAGAGGTGCTGGAATTAAAGGTGCAATGGGTTATACACAGAGTTTGATTAAATGGCGTGGCCAGTGTAGACAGCTGGCAAGTTTTTCCGCAAAATCATCTGATTTTGCAGAAAAACTTGCCAGTCTAGACACAGCCTGGGTGTGGTCATTATTAACCAATCTGTTATTAGAGCTGATCTGCTCTGTGACTATTATAAACTAAGCATTTCCCCTGCCAGGCTGTTAAAGTAGGAATAGCGCTCTAGTAAATGAAACAAAGAATTCATACTACTGGCGCTCTTTTGGGGATCGACAATGGCTAAGGCTACGTTTTATCACAGAGGTCGCGGAAGTCAAAGGCCTCCATGATTTCAGTCCCCAGTGGCTGGAAGCTGCAGGGTCCTGTCATCCAGTGACTGGGACCTGCCTCAGGTAGTGGGCCCAAGCGTGGTGGCTGGGGTTACCCCACAGCTCCCGGCAGATAGCGGGCAGCAGGAGGCCCACGCTGCTCTCTGGGCAGTGAGCACCTGACTCTGCCAGACCCTTATTTGCAACCTCAGCTAGACATGCCTTTATGAGGGGGAGTTGCAGAAGGTCACTGAAGACACCAGTAATGGCTTGACAGAGGTTCATGGATCAGGAGGTCTCTCCTGGGATCTACCAAAGCGAGCTGCAATGAGGAGAGGCTTTGCTGAAATCTCAGCTGTGCTAGTCAAACTTCCAGAAATTAAACTGGCTTGAAATCCCATTTGTGGTTTATCCCAGTAACCCGAAAACTGCAGAGGTGCCCATTCAGCATTCTAGCACTGATCGAATCTGACCCTGGGGACGCTGGCTTCCAAAGAGGCCCCTGGCATATCATAGAATACTAGGACTGGAAGGGACCTCGAGAGGTCATCGAGTCCAGTCCCCTGCCCTCATGGCAGGACCAAATAGTGACTAGACCATCGCTGCTAGACATTTATCTAACCTACTCTTAAATATCTCCAGAGATGGGGATTCCACAACCTCTCTGGGCAATTTATTCCAGTGTTTGACCACCCTGACAGTTAGGAACTTTTTCCTAATGTCCAACCTAAACCTCCCTTGCTGCAGTTTAAGCCCATTGCTTCTCGTGCTATCCTCAAAGGCCAAGATGAACAAGTTTTCTCCCTCCTCCTTATGACACCTATTTAGATACCTGAAAACGGCTCTCAGTCCCCCCTCATGATATGGCTCTGGAATGCTGGGCAGTTACCACGCGTGGCGTGGTATAGGATTGCGGGTGAAAATCTGATTCTAAAGTCTGAATGGGAGAGAAAAAAATATGACGCCTGCTCTGGATGAGCCTGCTTGGAAAAATCACCCCGGGCGGGTCACGGTCACTATTCTCAGTCACCTGCATATCCGTTTGGTTCCCAACAGGTCTGATCAAAGGAGTCAACAGCTGATTTTGGCAGGGGAAGGAGGTGTCTTTTCAGCAAACAAAAGGCAAGACTAATAAGGGCATTTGCGTTCCGCCGCTGTCCTGGTTTTTCCCCCCGAAGTGATACAAAATTTGCAGCCCCTCACTCTGGTGTGAATCTCAGCTGCGGGTGAAAAGGGTGCAAGAGAATCAGGGGTCAATACAATGGATTCAGAAGGCCCCGTCTGCAGCAGAACCAGCACAGAACTGCTTTGGGGGGGAGGGGCGGTGGTCAGGATTGGGGGCTGCCTGTGCTGGGGCACATGATCCACCACCAGGTAGCTCATTCAGTCCTTCCTTCCCTGCCAAAAGGGAGCACGTTGGTGCTATAGTGCCTCCCCCAAAGCCTTAGATTGGGGGAGCTCAACTCTTGCTCTGTGACTCTGGGCTGAGGGGAAGGGAGAGCGATCCTCCCTCACTCCTATGACATTGCTCAAGGCCTTGCCTGGTTAGCGAGGGAAGGGCCTGGGTCTGTAAGACCCACTAACCCTCTTCGTTTTTAAGGAACAGTGGGGAGGGATGCTGCCCATAAGGCTCCATTCTCCAAGGCCTCCTCGTTTCTCTTCCCCACGGATGTTTCATCCTCTCTGCACTGGGAGCCTTCAAGTCCTAGCAGCTCCAGCACAGTTCTTCTCCAAGAGGCTAATTCCCTCTCGTCTCTCTGTCGTGGGGTGGGTCCCTGCGTGCTTATGGCAAGGCACGCGCCTCGCTGGGGAGGGGGAAGGAAGCATGTGGAGCTAAACTGTGCCAGCTGGAAAATGAGATTGGAGCTCGAAGGGGATTCGGTGAGGCTTCAAAGCACAAGAGTGGAATCGAATACGTTAGCTGCTCCAAAGGCTGAAATTGCTTCTCTAATAACTAAGGAAAGAATTTAGCAAGGGGGGCAGAGAGAAGTAGTCGCCCGGCTTATTTGTAAAGAAGACGATCAATGTGCTATTCCCAGCCTGCATGGCGACTGCAGGACTGCTTGTACTCATTTGAGGCACGGTGAACGATATATTTCAATGCATTTCAAAGTGATTAACCTTCTCCGAGTGGATGCACAGCTTGTGTTCGTTCTCTCTTCTCTGGTTACCAGCTGTACCAAGGAATAAAGGAGAGATGGGCCTCCTGCAGCCGGCTTGGGGTCCAAACCGTCCCCCAAGAATTTCAGATCTATGGCTTTGACCTGGACATCTTCTGTAGCTTGCAGAGGAATCCAGCCCCTGATCAAGAATTAAAGGCTGCTGAAATCTCCCTGCTTACCTCTTGCTAGATGCTGACAAGCAAAGGCTCCCTCTTGGGAGGGTGGGGGGACAGCAGCCGTGCATGCCGGGCCCACTGCTTGCTTTTCTTCCCATTGCCCTGACTGGTAGGAAGCTAGGGGAAAGGACACAGCTTGTGTATATGCCTCTCATTCCTGGCTGGCAAGGGGAAGGGTCAGAGAAGTAATTCCCGAAATCTGTGTTCTTTTCCCGTTATATCGTCTGGCGTGCCACAGTTTAGAAAAAAATCACTGGAACCCCAGAGAGCTGGAGCAGTTGCAAGTGTCCATTTATTTCATAACACAGAACTCGCTAGAACCAGCCCAAACTGGCTGGGCTGACCCCTAGTGACCTAACTCAGTTACTAGGACAACAAGATCTATATTGACAACCACCCAATACACAACACCCCTCGCTCCCTGGGTGTCAGGGGAACGGGAAGAAAAAATGCAGCATCCCAGTTCGCACGGCTGCTCCGCCCTCCCAAAACGGTGCCCTTGCTGACAAGGATTTTGCCAGCCCTCAGCAGGAGCTGTCTGTTGCAATCTCTGGGTGGATCTGTCGGGAGGATGGTGGGTTAGAGGGTTCATAAATGCTCAGGAGAGGTCCTAGCTCTTTGGGCCATAGACAGATACTGAGGGTATGTCTAGACTGCATCCCTCTGTCAGCAGAGGGATGCAGATTAGGCAGGTTGACATTGCAAATGAAGTGGGGATTTAAATATCCCGTGCCTAATTTGCATTAAAATGGCCACCGTTTTGGCCGATTCAGCACTTTGGCAGTCTAGAGGGGGACCTGTAAACCTCCTTGCAGGGGGCATAAGGGATCTGTTGAAAAAGGCTTTCTTTCTCCACGGATCCCCCTCTAGACTGCCAAAGTGCTGAATCGGCCAAAACGGTGGCCATTTTAATGCAAATTAGGCACGGGATATTTAAATCCCCACTTCATTTGCAATGTCAACCTGCCTAATCTGCATCTCTCTGCCGACAGAGGGATGCAATCTAGACATATCCAGAAAAGCAGGGCGGGAGGGGCCCTGGTCGCTGTCTGCAGCTAATGTCAAATTGCATCTCAGTTTTTATAAGAGACCCAGAACGCCTATCTGAATAAAAATGCCTCTCTCAGCCAGACGCCTTGACATAGCTAGGCTGGGAGCCAGCAAGCGAACGTTTAGCCGGTTAACAGATTAACCGGGATTTGACATCCCTCAGTACTCCACCAGATGGTGGGGGACATCACAAAGTGCTTTCCCGGAGCCCAATCCTGCTTCAGGATCCATGGGCCCAAACTCCTGAACTTCCTGGGATTCTGGACAAGGCCGATGCTAGCCATCACTCAAGTAAATTCCTGTAGTTTCCAAAGTGAGCATGTCTGTAGAGCAGGACTCAGGGTTTACCTCCTATTCTTTTGTCACCCTCGATCACCACAAGCCTTTCCTTCAGCCAGGAGACAATGCAGGGGAGAGCCAATGTGAGCGCAAAACAGAGAGGCTGCTCTTACCAGAATCTCTTTGATGGGAAAGTCCTTCAGACCCCCATCTCTGGGAGAGTCCAGAACCACAGGGAAGCATTTGTGAGGAGCCTGTATGTAGCCAAACTCGATTTCATCCTGTCCAAGTGAGAGAAACCAGCTGTTACACACAGGAGCACTACCCCCTGGGTAGGACACACTCGGCCAGGGTGGCCACCTTTTCAGAAGCAAAAGCAGGACACCTACAAGAGCCCTGCCTCGTGCTCATCCTCGTCCCCTGAGGCCCTACCCTCTGGCCAGGCCAGAAGGTGGAGCAGGGCTGTGTTAAGAGTTGCCCAGGCACCGAACAACCACCGAACCCAAAGATGCTCCTGCCCCAGGGAGCGTTCTAGGATCGTCTCCGCTTTGGGTGGGGCACTCTGGGCACGGGGCAGCGCTGCTGAGGGTCTGGGACAAATGCTGCCCTGGAGTCGCTCATTTTTGGGACTGTCCCGCCCCATCTGGGATGGGTTGTCACCCAGGACTCCGCACTGAGGTCCAGATCCTCATGGGAAATTAGGCGACGCTGATTCCAGTAGGAATTGGGCAGCTAGTTGCCATGGATAAGCTGGGCCTGGGAGCCTTTCGTCCAAGTCCCCGTTGGCTACCAGCAGCTCCATTTCACAGATGGGAAGAGGGGCGCAGAGACGGGGAAGAGAGACACCTTCACAAGCGCCCTCTCATGTGAGGGCCTCCTCGTGTGGAGACAACTTGTGTCCGATTTTTGGGGGCGGAGCATCCCGGCTCCAGCCGGGAGTTTTGTGCTCATCTCCCTCCCCACTTAATCCAGGCCTGCAGCACCCCCAATAGATCTGCCCCACCCCTCTGTTAGGCTTCAGATCCCCCCTCCGCTATCCCCAGAGTGCCCCGCCCAAAGCGGAGATGATCCCAGAACGCTCCTTGGGGCAGGGGCCATCTTTGGGCTCGGTGGTTGTACAGCACCTAGCACAACGGGGCCCTGTCCATGCGGGGGATTCCTAGAGGTGAATAGCGACCATCATGCAGTTCTGTAGTTTGTACAACTCGGTCCCTGGTGAGCTGGCCCTTTAAGGGATTTGGGCTCAGCTGTGTCCGTGCCAGGTTTTGCCCATCTCGCTAGCTGATGAGCACGAGTTTAGGGGATCATATGACCAGGATGGCCTGTGGCCAGGGCTGCCGAAAGTGGGGAGCAAAGGGGTAAATTGCCCAAGGGCCCGGGCCACTTAAAAGAGCCCCGAGCTCCTGTGTGCTGCCGCAATAGCACGGACGGGCCTGGCAGCTCCCTGCCCCTTTTAAACTTCCCCCCCCCAGCCGCTGCCTGTGGTCCAGCTCCACGCCCATGTGGTGACCCCATGGCAGGCCAGCGGCAGTACTGGGCCCTCTGGGCCATCGACAGGGGAAAAGGGGGATCTGCCCTGGAGCCTTTAAATCACCATCGGAATCCCAGGCAGCCCTGAAAGGATGGCTGGGGAAAACTAGCCCCCAGCCCCGTCCCTGCTGCCTGAAGTTCCGCCCCTTCCAGGGGCCTGGAGCTTCCCTGTTCACCTGCCCAGGGGCCTGGCAACTCCCTTTTAGGAAGGGAGCGAGGCCAGGGAGATGAGAACTCTCTGGAGCTGCCAGTGAGTGCCTGGCAGAGAGACCTGCAAGGAGCAGGAGGGGAGGAGCCTCAACGAGGAGAGCGGCAAAGGACTGTGAGTCCGGTCAGAGGTCAACAAGGAAGGGGAAACTGAGGCAGGATCTGACGCCAGACTGAGCAAGCCCTGCCATGGAGACTAAGCCAAACCAGCCTCATTTAAACAACCTCTCCTGGCTGGCAAGTTTTAACTCTGGAATTGTTTCATGTACAAAAGGAAAAGCCTCTGTTTTGGTGACCTATGCCCCTGCCAAAATCTTAATTGCTAAATGGGGTGCCCCCTCATGCCCCCAGCCTGTTCCTCTGGGTGGCCCTCCCTGCACCCCGGCATCACCTCAGCCACCTCACCTGCATCCAGCGGTCTCCACGGTTCATGTACCCAAAGCAGACCTTCAGGTCGCAGCTTGCTTTGCTCACTAAACTCTTCACCTCCTTCAGGAACAGATAATTATCCTTCACACTGTGAAAACAAAGGGACGGGGAAGACATTGGAAGAGGAGGTGTGTGGGGGGGGGAGGAGGTGGGGAGCAAGCTCACAGAAGGGGAAGAAAATTACATCCCTTTCCTCAGGCCCTTGAAAGTGAATTGTCCCTGGCAGTCACGCAGTTCCGACCTCTTTCCTAGCTAGGGCATAGAAGTGGGGGTTAAATCCTGTCAGCGGTAAGGCTGTAGAGAGGACGTGTACGGTTCTGATCACAGCTCCGAGGCCAGGCTGCTAACACAGCAGGCTGTGCTGTTGGCAGCATATGGCCACTCCGGATTCTGATGAGAAGTTTTAGATTTTGGGCTGGGAACTCTGATGTACCGGAATGATCTAAAGGACTAGAAAAGATGCCTTATAGCAATGACTGTCCACCAGCGGTACATCCCCCCCACCAGGAATCTGCAAAGTTCTCCCAGGGCTACATCAATTCATCTAAACCAGGGGTCTCCAAACTACGGCCCGCGGGCCGCATCCGGCCCGCGAGGCCCTCTCATCCGGCCCGTGGAGACCTTTTTGTCTGGCCCCTTCTTCCGCGTGCCGGTGTGACGAGGCGACCCCCGCCCGTCCCTGGGGCGCTGCTGAACGGGCCCTTCTTGCCGCGGGGGGGGGGCCCTGTCAGGGGTGTGCGGCATGTACTCACGCCGCGCCGGGGCAGGAGAAGCGGGCCGCTCTGTTGACAAGCGGCCGCGCGGCGGCAAACGGCGCAGGGGGCAGGGGTTAGCACGGGCGGCGTTCCCCCGCCCAGACTGACAGGGCAGCCGGCCAATCAGGGGGCAGGATGGGCGGTGGTGGTAACGCCCGCCCGGCGACGTGCAGGGGAACGTGAACCCCGGCGGGAACTTTAAAAAGGTGACCCCTTCCGCCCTGGGGGGGGGAAGGAGTGAGCGGTGGCAAGCAGGAGGGGAGGACAGCGTGCAGAGGAAGGGGAGAGCAGGGGGAAAAGCCCCCCCCCCTCAGGAGTCCAGACCCGACGGCCACCCCGACGGCAGGACCAGCCACGGCGGGAGGGGTGGGCGTCTGGATATACGACCGTCAGCCTGACGGACGAATCAAAGGTGACCGCCCCACGGTGGGGGGAGGTAGAGGGGCAAAGGGGGGGGGAAAGGAAGCAGCCCAGGGCAGAACTCGTTAGAGTTGGCGGGCTGACGAATTACGGCAGGAGCCCCGTCAGCCAGACCGGAGCCAGCTGGTTCCGTGTCCGTAGGGCCCTGGGCTGGGGCCCGTGAGTGAGGGTGGGCCCGGGCCCCCCTTTCCCTCCCCTTCAGCACTGGAGGGAGTGCATGGTCAGAGTACCGGCCGCGCTGCGACAGAGGGCGCAATAGGCAACTGAAATTCCCCGTCGTGAAAGCGGCCCCCGAACTGCTGTTTGATAGTTAATGCGGCCCTCGGGCTGAAAAGTTTGGAGACCCCTGATCTAAACACTCGCTTTATTTTACAACAGGCTACATAAGAAGCCAAGTCAGCACAAACTAAAATTTCATATAGACAATACACCAGGGCAACTCAACTTTGGAAGCCCCAGGGGCCACAATGATACTCACAGCACATGCCGAGGGCCGCACCTTAAGTGTGGTTGCGTAGACATGCAAATATATATGCAAATATATGCAAATAGCTACTTGCAAGACTACACACCACACAGGCCCCACTTAAGTCAGTTCTGTTGATATTAATAAAATGCAATATTTACCCAATTTCCACACCCAGGACAGCACTTTTAATGAGCAATGACAGTCCAGAAAATTAACTACTAAAACGCATATCAACAGAAGACCATTATATTGACTACTTTTTTGTTTCAGCTCCCACCTGAGGGCCTAATGTTGAGTGGGCTGTGTGTTAAGTAGCCCTGCAATACACTATACACTGAAAAGCAAGTACAATATTTGTATTCCAAGTGATTTTATTTTATACTTGTATCGTAAAAATCAGCAATTTTTCAATACTAATGTGCTGTGACAGTCTTGAATTTTACGTCTGATCTTGTAAAAAAGTAGTTTAAGTGGGGCAAAACTTGGAGGTACACAAGAAAAATCGGACTCCAGAAAGGGGAGCAGTAGTCTGGAATGGTTGAGAGCCACTGCCTTCCAACAATCAATTCAAAGAGCTCCATCTATTTAGTGTAACATACAGAAAATTATACAATGGCTTCTTAATCTATTAGTCATGGGGAATAAATATATTTAATAAGGCGCTCTTCAGTCTAGCAGAGAAAGGTCTAACTTGATTCAACAGATAGAACCTGAAGCTAAACACATTCAGAATGGAAATAAGGCACACATTTTTAGCATTGAGGGTAATTAACCATTGGGACAACTTACCGAACGTCATGGTGAGTTCTCCATCACTGACAATTTTTAACTCGAGTTTGAATATTTTTTCTAAGTCTATGTCTAGACTGCAGAGTTTTTCCAGGACATTGGTGATACCCCGGAAAAACTCTACCGTGTCCAGGGAACGTGTCCGCTTTTTTGGAACAGCTTCTGAAAAAGTGGGTGCGTTCTTTCGGCATCCCTGTATTCCTCATTTTATGAGGAATAAGGGATGTTCTGAAAGAGGAGGGTTTTCCAACATTTGGCCCTGTGCAGACGGGCCAAATGTCGGAAAAGCCTCTTCTGAAAAAACAAGCGGAAAAAGATACACAATTTTCATATCTACTTCTGAAACCCCCCCCCCCCCCCCCACAGTGTAGACATAGCCTAAGAGATCTGATCTAGGAATTTAGGGGAGAGGGGAACTATAGTCCGTGTAAACAGGAGGTCAAACTAGATGATCCCAATGACTGAGCCATCAGACACTGGATCATTTTATATCTTTTCTCGACTAGATTTCTCCTACTCTGAGCTGTTCTTGAGGGAGGACACATCAATATTTCAAGTGGCTTTCAGATGAAAACTCTTTTCCTACTGAGAACACGAGATAGAAAATTGGCTAGACTGTGGGCCCAACGGGTAGTGATCAACGGCTCGATGTCAGGTTGGTGGTCGGTTTCTAGCGGAGTGCCCCAAGGATCAGTTCCTGGACCAGTTTTGTTCAACATCTTTATTAATGACCTAGATGAAGGGATGGATTGCACCCTCAGCTAGTTTGCAGATGACACTACGCTAGTGGGAGAGATAGATACGCTGGAGGGCAGGGAAAGGGTCCACAGTGACCTGGACAGATTAGAAGATTGGGCCACAAGAAATCTGATGAGGTTCAACAGGGATATGTGTAGAGTCCTGCCCTTGGGACGGAAGAATCCCAAGCATTGTTACAGGCTGGGGACTGAATGGCTAAGTAGCAATTCAGCAGAAAGGGACCTGGGGGTTACAGTGGATGAGAAGCTGGATATGAGTCAACAGTGTGTCCTTGTAGCCAAGAAGGCTAATGGCATATTAGGATGCATTGGAAGAGCATTGCCAGCAGATCCAGAGAAGTGATTACAGGCAGTCCCCAGGTTACATGCATCCGACTTACATCGGATCCCTACTTACAAATGGGGTGAGGCAACCCCGCACTAGCTGCTTCCCCCCAGCAGACCAGGGAGACGCAAAGCTAGGGCCCCCCCAAGCAGACCAGGGAGACGCGGAGTGGCTTTTCTCAGCACACACCTCAGCTTGAGAATAAAGGACTGAGGGAAGTGAGGTGTGGGAGAATAAAACTGAGCTCTGGAGAAATGTTTGGCTAGAGTTTTCCCTATAATATGTACCAGTTCCGACTTACATACAAATTCAACTTAAGAACAAACTTACAGTCCCTATCTTGTACGTAACCCGGGGACTGCCTGTATTCCCCTTTGTTCGGAGGCCACATCTGGAATGTTGTGTCCAGTTCTGGGCCCCCCACTATAGAAAGGATGTGGACGTATTGGAGAGGGTCCAGCGGAAGGCGACTAAAATGATGAGGGGACTGGAGCACATGACCTATGAGGAGAGACTGAGGGATTTGTGTTTGTTTAGTCTGCAGAAGCGAAGAGTGAGGGGGGATTTGGTAGCAGCCTTCAACTTCCTGAAGGGAGGTTCCAAAGAGGCTGGAGAGAGGCTGTTCTCAGCAGTGACAGATGGCAGAAAAAGGAGCAATGGTCTCAAGTTGTGGTGGGAGAGGTACAGGTTTTGCCCGCCCTTGCACTCTGCCCCGCAATCATTCATGTCGCAAGACACACGTCGCCATGCTAGCAACAAGCAGGCAGATATAGGCAGGCTTTGTCACTGGCTCTTTACCTGCACACGAAAATGTTCACCGGTGCCAAGGTGTTTGGAGTCATTATCCACGGAGCCACTCGGAAAACGACCGTGTCTGTGAAAATCGGAGCTCGGGGGATTCCCTGGAGGGGAAGCACAACATCGCACAGTCAGCATGTTGATTGGGCGATGGGGGAGCAGGAAGGGTACACAACGGATGGATAGCAGGGGTGGGGAACTGCAGGCTGGAACCGGATGGCAGCTTGCCTTGGCTTGGCCCATGATCCTCGGGGCTCACCCCTCTGCAGTGGGGTGTTGGCACTGGTGCTCCAGCCACATGAGGGGCACTGACCCTACGTCTAGGGAAACTCCTTTAATTTGGAATTGTATGTCGCAGTCTAGGAACTCCTTAACCCATGGGTGGTTGCTTATTTGCATTAGGCAGCTACAGAGCGCTCTGCTTTGATACTGTCTAGGTAGGGAAATGCCAGGGAAGTGCACATTTCTGGGGCTATAATTCCCAGGTCCAGCGTTGCCCAAAGACAGTGGAATTCTCATCTTTCTCTATGACCTCGTGGCAGCCAGCCAGCCAGCCAGCCAGCTGTGTGCTGTAAGCGGTGCGATCCCAGAGGGGAGATCACAGAGCCAACCTCCCATGCATGTCCATTCCATGCAGCAGCAGAGTCTAGTCTCAGAGGAGGGCTGAGCCTGGGAGTGAGAGGTAAAGTTTCATTAGCTGGTCTGTCTTGCCCTAACATTCAGCTCCCTGTAAGCCTCTGGGAGCTGGTGGGGGGAAGGGGGGCGGGAGGGAGTCCTCCCAAAAGACACTGATCACTTAAAACAAAAAAAGGACTTTGAAATAAAAACCTCCAGCCTCAGGCCAATGTAAAGCTGGCACCTTAGATGTGCTAAGTGACGTGTTGAGTTTTAACATCAGCAGCTCCCTCTTCTGTTACATAACAGCTCTATCCGGGAAGAGCCTGGCTCACACCAGCTTCAAGCTGGACCCAGCTTGGGAAGCCCCCAAATGAACCCGAATGTCTGCAGATCTCAAAGGGAGCAGTAGGGGGAGTTTCCTACAGTGGGGGCAGCCACTGGAGAGAGAGGCATGGGGTTTTCATTCCCTCTAAAATAGAAACACTCCTGCAGCCGAGTATTAAGAATCAGTGCGGGCTCCCTCCCCACCCCAGATTTCATTAAGCTAGATTTCCACCGTTGGCCCTTCGCTTCGCAGAGACGTCAGTCGCTTTGCCAAGGTGAGAACTAAGTGCTGAAGGACGCTGCCGCCTGGGAGATGGAAAACGTGATGCATCCCCACCGGGAGGTGTCATGTGCCCCTGCAGAGTGACTGCAAAATGCTGCAGCTGGTGGGAGGATGCCGAAATGCTTGGGGGTGAATTCTGATCTCACTCGCGCCAGTTTTGCGCTGGCAGGACTCCCGGGGAAGTGTGCCTCATTTACATGGCGGCAGTGGTCAGAATCAAACCCTGATTTAGTAGCATTTTGCATCTGCTTTATCTGGCAACGGGTAAATGATGCCCCCAATGCACAGCCATAGTCTAACGTTATAGCCACAGGCTGGGTACTGGGCACTGTTCAGCCAGTGCTCCGTTGGGATGATCACTGTAAGGTGGGATAAGAGCAGCTTAGGCTCTGTCTACACTGCCCCCGTTTTGCGCAAAAAATACGCAAATGAGGCGAAGCATGGACTATTGCAGTGCCTCATTTGCATAATTAATGAGGCTCCGGTTTTGTGCAAAAATGCCAGGGAAGTGCACATTTCTAGGGCTATAATTCCCAGGTCCAGCAAAGAACGCAGATGAGCGGCTCCTGTGCAAGAGGGGGTTTTGCGCAAAAGCGGGGCCTCGTTAATTATGCAAATGAGGCGTGGCGATCTGCCTCGCTTCGCCTCATTTACATATATTTTTGTGCAAGAGGCTCTAGGGTAGACATAGGCTTCGTGTCTATGGCCCGTTTGCTCCTTGGCCTCGCTGGGGAGGCTGTCCGCGAGGGAACTGACCGGTGCCAACCATGCGCTGATACAGAGTCTATGCGTGAAAAACTGAACCGAGACCCCCCCAACTCGCCTCAGACTCTGACACCAACCTACCACTTGGACCGGCTGGGAAGGGGCGACCTGCAGGCTGAAGGGTCAATAGCCCAGGTCTGGTTCCCCAGGCAACGGTCACTGTAAGTCCCAGGAGGTACAAGAGCTCACTTGGAAGCAAACGTCATTCACAGACACGTGACCCTGTTCTTGGGCTGCCGGTAAATCCATCGCGCTGATGTCAACCGAGATACCTCAGGATGCATCATGCCAGCTGACTGAACTCCACAGCTTGCTGTGTCTGTAGCAGCGCTGGGCAGCCGATGGCCACGTGCAGCCCACTGGGAGTGCCCGTTCTCTGCCCTCTTTCCCCATGCCTCCCGTGTGCTGGGGAACTGGAGCCCTTCTTCTCCTCCCCCTCTCTCCCAGCACGTTGCCCACCACCTGCATCTCCATCTTGCAGCCCACTGAGACAAAGGGGGGGCACTTTCCTCTGGCCCACTCACTAGCCCAGGCTGCCCTTTGCTGGTTTTGCAGGGCTGCAAAACTCACGCCGTTTAACTTCCAGCTCCCCAGTGACATCATGCCCTGCCCGCCCCTCCCTACCATGTCCAAACCTCAGTTAACGACTCTAGAAGGCTGATATGGATGGAGACCAGCCCAGAGAAGGTGTCATCTGGGAAGCGGAGGCCCTCCACAAAGAACTCCAGCTCTGCCGATCCTCCTGTGTATTTCACCACATGATACAGCTTCTGCCTGCCCAGGACATGGATGTAACGCTGACCGAAGAAAGGATCTAGAAAAAAAAGTGGGGGAAGGGGAGGAGGGAGAGTGGAGATATTTAGAAAAAATAGACTTTCCTGTAGCACATCCTCTCCTGCTATGTAATTTTGGGGGCTCCCTTTCCCTCTCACCCATAGGCCTTCCATGTTTGGGTCTCAACATCTTTAGTTCTAGGGCCCACACGATGGGCCATAGTTTGAGACCCATTGTTACCCCTGCAGAATTCAGATCTCCTGCAGATTTTTTTTTCCTCCGCCAAATATCGAGGTTGCTGGAGAGGGGCTGCAGTTACACCTTTTGTCCACCAGTGGCTGCCCAATGCCAGGAGAGAGAGCGTGTCCTTCACAGAGGAGGCGTAGGACCGAGAGCGGGGTAGGTGGCACTGCTAGAGGCATCACAGACGGGTTCTGGAGGCTGAGGGGAGGGACAGACTAAGGCAGTGGTCCCCAACCTTTTGGGGCTGCCGGGCACCCGGGGGCGGGGGCCATGCCTGCCTGGCCACTAGGCGGGCGCTCATAAATGCCCCAGCGGGCACCAGGGCACCCACGGGCACCACGGCACCGCGTTGGGGACCACTGGACTAGGGCATGAGTCAGCTGCTGAATGTGAGAAGGGCTGCAAACAGTAGCCTCCCCAGGAATTGAAATTAGGGGGGGTGTTCAAATTTACAGGGGGGG